CCTCTTGAAATAAAGATTATTATTATTATTATTATTATTATAGGAAGATGTGGTAAGAGTGCCTATGAGACAACTCTCCATCCAAGTTACAATTTATAAACGTAAACCATTATAGGTCAAGGTATGGCCTTCAACACGGAGCATTGGCTCACACCGAACAGCAAGCTATAAAGGGCCCCAAAAAATTACTAGTGTAAAACCATTCAAACGGAAAAACATGCTTGCTTGATCATTTAGAGTTGCTTATCATCTGTTCGTTCAAAGAAGTTACTGACTTGGCTGTGTTCTGAGCTGTGAAGGATTTCTGATGAAGTTGAAAAGTCCATGATGCATGCTTTGAAAGTTGAAACATTATTCAGGCCACCATGGTCAATATTCCCTAGTTCAGACTTTGCAGTAAGGAATATGATTAATATTCCTATCATTGAATTTGACAAACAGCCTCTGAATTTAAAAACCACACTTTTCTCCTTATGTGGCATAAACCACTCCTTGCAAGTGATAATTCATCCACCATGATCAGAAGTTTTACAATTCTTCATACAGACAGAGGAATATAACTCAATAGTTCCTTTCAAGATCGATGAAATGTGATCACAGGAAATACTGATTTTGAATTGCTTTTTATTGAATTGCTGATAATGATTTTCTCCATTCATGCCATTAGGAAAAGTTAAGAATCAGCGGCTCTTTTCACAAAAAATCTTACAGAGTAAAATTACTCGAAAGTCATACACATTTCAGTATAACTTACGATCAATTTTAATCGCAAGATTTTTAATGAAAAGAGTAGCAGGAACCAACAAATTTTCAGGTGCAATTTATGAAAGATTTTGGCTTGTTTTACAAACACATTATCAGGATTTAGGTTATGTAATGGCAAATGGCAACAAAAGGGAAATAAGTCTTGCTCTTTTTGCACATATCAAAAACTACAAATGTGTCAATAGTAAAAGCTTCTCTTGTAATGAAAATGATATGAATCAAAACTAAAAAGAAGTTTAAATTCAACTTTATCCATGAAAACGTCGACAAATTTGTCAGTTTTTTAGAGGAAAATTCGGTAATTGGAATCAAAAGTCTGTGGAACTAGAAAAGGGTTAAAACTAGAATCCAGGATCTCATGTTTTTCTCTGACTGTTAATGACGTCTTTACACTAAATCCATTGAATGTTGGATGTGTACTGATTGATATTTTAGTCTTATATGCATCATTTTTTTTTATTAGTTGTTACTGGCTTTGAACTAGCTGTCAGTAACTGCAAGTACTGTCAGATCTGTACTAAAAGTTTTTGTTGTGGAGATGTATACATGTAAGTAACCTACCACGTCCACTCTGTGTTTTTGTTTCATGTATTTCTATTAATGTATCCATCTGATGAGTTAAGCCTTTTTCAACAGATTTTTATAGTTTGTTCTTATGTTGTACTGTTACACCACTGTCCCAGGTTAGGGGAGGGTTAGCGCCTTCAAACTAGTGTAACCCCGCCACATTCTGTATGTGCCTGTCCCAAGTCAGGAGCCAGTAATTCAGTGGTTGTCGTTTGTTGCTGTGTATCATATTTGTTTTTCTTTCATTATTTTGTACATAAATTAGGCCATTAGTTTTTTCCTCTTGAATTGTTTTACATACATGTATATATATCATTTCGGGGCCTTTTAAAGCTGACTATGCAGTATGGGTTCAGTGATATTGTCTGCCTCAAATTACCTCCGAAACTCGTCTTTTATCCCTAGAGAAAATTCCTAATTACTGAAAAAAAATGGCATTAAATTCCTCCCAATAAGTTGTACATTTTTCACAAACGGTGATGGCATCGGTAGTAATGTATGTAAATTTCCTATTCATGCTATAATTTTGATATTATGAAAGCGCTTTTGAGATCCGGGTTTCTGATTAGAATCATCGCAGTGTTTGTAACACATGTGGTTTTGAATGTATTAAGTACCGTCATTTTTTTCGTTTCTTTCCCCTCCCCAAAAAGTTGCTTTCCGGTTGAAAATGTCTCACAATTCAAAATATTACGTGAAAAAACTGTGTAAAAAAGACAGCAAAGGTCAGCAAAAAATCGGAGATGTGTTCAAAAAAATGAACAAACTTATTATAGTAAATGATCAGTCATCTGAAAATGAATGAGATGTCAAACAAGCTTTAGATAATATATATATACAACAACTTGAATGAGCTTGTAAATGTTCAAGGAATTAAAGGACAGAAAAATGGACCTTTGAAAATTAAAATAATGAAGTTATGACTTGTCTTATCAATTATATTAAGTTCAGTCTTGTCTTCGAATTCAAGTTTTAGTACAATTAACAATGATTGATTCTTATTCAAAATTTCCAAAAAAACGACGCATTTTTCCCCCAAAAAAAGGGTAAAGGTAGTTTTGAAAAAAGACAACAATATCACTGGGGTTTTGCTCATTGTTGAAGGCCGTACAGTGACCTATAGTTGTCAATTTCTGTGTCATTTGGTCTCTTGTGGAGAGTTGGCTCATTGTTGAAGGCCATACAGTGACCTATAGTTGTAAATTTCTGTGTCAATTGGTCTCTTGTGCAGAGTTGTCTCATTGGCAATCAAATCACATCTTATTTTTTATTCTTAATCCAAGCCACAAGAGGACGGTTAATAAATAAATCTCATTTAAGTTGGTAATTTCCCAGGTCACACCTGCAAGAATCCGGGTCCGTTCGCACCCTACATGTTGGTACCATTTTTACTGGTTTTGTGTTAAATAATTTTTCAATTGTTTTTTGGTTAGTATATTGCTATAAATATTTTTTTTGTTCATTGTTTCAAAATGAAGTGACGTTTTTGTGTTGAATATTTTTTTAATCGTGTTTTGATTATAAGTGTACTGCTATAAATAATTTTTTTTCTTCATTGTTTTAAAAATAAAGTGACGTTTTTTTGTGCTGAATATTTTTTTAATCGTGTTTTGGTTAGTGTATTGCTATAAATTTTTTTTGTGTTGAATATTATTTTAATGTTAAGATACCAAACCGCTATTAGTACTAAACTCAACAACAATCAGACATGGGGTCAATCACTTTTGAAAGTAATTAATTACATTCAATTACAATTACAAAATCTTCAATTAAATTACACATTACATTTGACTTTTTTTGACAATGTAATTAATTACTTTCCAATTACTTGGCAAATGTAATTAATTACTTCAATAACTTTTGAAAGGAAAATTTAGAACATGCATTTATTCTATCATATGTACATAATTATCATACATTGCTTTATAGTAATAACAAATGAAATCTACAGTGACTATTTTTAAATTCAGCCAGTATCAAAGAAGAGTAAAAGTTAAATGTCTGGTGTGTTACGGGAATAAAGAAAAAACAAACATAAATCTGAAGTGCACATAATACTTTGTCTATCAGGAATCGTTAGGACTAGATGTCTGGTTTAATTTAATGCTCAAAATGATAAAAAGCCTTATTCAATATTTGGAAAATATTAAATTCTGTTTAATTACCTATTGAAATTTTATGTTTTAATGTATTTCATTGAAAATGATAAAAGAAGAGAGCCCTTTATTTTGATCACAACTTATTAAAATTTTCCTAAAGAAATGATTAAGAAAGTCTGACTTTTGAAAATATAATGTAGTTTTAATCACAATTAATTAATTAAAAAAAAATCATGTACCTAGGGGTATATTTATCTCTCTCTAATTGGCTTAACACCTGTTTAACATGCAAACATAACTGTTGTAAAAACAGTCATTATATAGTTTATGATAAAACAAATAGCCAGAGGTTATATTTATTGATTGACTTATGACCTTTCAAATTGATTATGTTAAATCAATGTCTAACAATATCCATCTGAATATACATGTAGGTAGCAAGCTAATTAAGGTAAAAGACAGTGACTTACTAATGGTTTCTTTTAAACACAAATTATGGCATGTTTCTACAATATTTTTTGTTCATGCATTACAAAATAAAGAATCTTCCATGGTTGTGTAATTACAGAAGGTATACTGTGTAGGCTTTGATTTGTCAGTTAACTACATTTGCTAAGGTCATGGCTTTTCATAATAATTTGAGAAACACAAGATTAAATCTTTCTGATCCCAAATTTCAAATGTAATTGAAAAGTAATTGTCAATTACAGACAATTTTGGCTTTGTAATTCATTACTTTCAATTACTTGTAATTGAAAAAATGCTCAATTACACATTACATTCAATTACTTGAGAAATTGTAATTAATTACAGCCAATTACAATTACATATTTCAATTACCCCATGTCTGACAACAATATCATATTGAATCTTCATTGTTTTTACTCATTCCAAGCTAAATACATGCAGAATGCACATCAAAGCTAGTTAAATCAACAATTACGTCTACTGCTGAAAAAATATATTATAGTTGACGGTGACCTAATCAGAAGGCCTGCTACAAATAATTTTGACTACAGAAATAGGCTAGTATTGTGGTCGCCAAGTTAAAGTGAAATCGAAATATTACTGAAGTTCTCCACCAAGTGTCACTTTTCAAAAATGCAATTTTTAGAGACAAGTGCTGGTATCATATTGTTCTATTTGTGTACTTCATATGACATTTTCTTGAACATGATGCTTTTGTAACACTAACACTAACAGACCTGGCATGCCTGGGCTCATATTTTTGCACGTTTGGCCAGAAAAAATCACATTCTTTCCAGTGAGTTGTCACAGAAAATAACAAGACAACAAGACATAAAAAATTCATATAGAGCTCCATTTAGGAAGAGTAACATAGCATAAATATTCCACAAACAATCGTACACACATGATGCTGATATCATTCATGGGTAATGTCAGTTTCCAGAGATTTTTGCATAAAATTTAATTTTAACGTCAGAAATGCAAAGATGATTAAATTTCTTGTAACAGATATTTCATAAGGGCTTCAGAAATTTGAGTTTTTAGACCTTTCATACACAACGTCACTGAAAGAAGAAGAAACATTAAAAATGTAATCTTTACCTGCTAGCGGTTTATTGACAATTTAAAATTCACTGCGCATGTGGTGACGGAAGTGATTTTAACTTCCTGTAAACAAAGAGGTTTCCAAAGGGTAAATAGTTGAAAAAGTTATTTATGCGGGAAATTCATAATGATATGTTTGAGTCTTTCTCATAATATCACCTAATTAGAGACAAATTAATTTCCTTGGTACATCTAGAGATCAAAGATATATTAGCATGTCCAAACAAATTCAAAAACAAATATAATGAAATTCGGATAATTAGTATGAGGGTTTGGATAATCTGAGCGGCCTACTATAACACATTTTTAATGTTATTGCATCAACCTATAGCCTAAATGTATAAAAATAATAGAATTTGAAGTGAGATCATGATCAAATATTTTTTTCTTTTATACGTTTTCAAGACAGAAGTCAACTCGAACACGCCTGAACATAAAAAGGTGAACTGAACTTTCTCTTTTCGATGAAATTATTGCCAGTTTTGGTTTTTTTTCCCAAAAAACTGTCGCCGGTGGCAGAGATGTAAATAAATGCTTTTAAAAAGATTAATATATGATCTCTCTTTGGATTTTTTTCGGTGGAATTTATGCTTAAGCACAAAAATGATCCGCATGTACTTGCACCTACCACAATCGACTGTTTTGTGAAAATTAGTCTATAATTTAAGTTTACATATATCTCGAAACTCCTTACCATAATTTAAGTAAAAACACATATATAAGACGCATAAAATTCTAAATAATGCACATTCATTAAACTTGTAAAGCCCATAGAAACAGGTGGGACAGACTCGTCGGTTGCGTCTATTTTTTTAGAATTTCAGATATTAGTGTAGTCCTAGATATGGGTTATGTTGGACCTGTTGGAGTATTTGTCAGTATAATAACATAAACGGTACACATTTTAATGCATCAGATTCGCATTTCGACAATTAAAATCTTTTCAGTGATGCTTGAGGCCAAAATATTTGAATATCCAAAATCTAATATAATTGTTGAAGAGCGGAACAAACCAAAAAGGATCTTTAAAATATAGCCAAATACGGACAAGGAATTAAAGCTTTGCATGAGGAAGATATGTTCCTTAATTTAGAATAATCTCCAAAATTTTATAACAACATATTTTAATCAAACAATATGACGGTATTTTCATGCCAGTACCATAGCACTGACTACTTGGCAGGTGATACCATCGGGGACTAACAGTCAACCAGCAGAGGTATCGACCCAGTGGTATTAATAACATTACCGATACAAATTTTAATGCACCAGATGTTTATTTTATTAGCTGTACAATTACTGGCTCTTTTCTTAATACTTAGTATTAACAATAGAACACAAAACACAACATAGAAAACTAAAGACTGAGCAACACTCGTTTATACAGGATTCTATGTGGTATGCCATCTTGACCTGACGCTGTTTAATTGTTTTAATTATTTTTTCATTACCTTACGCTCTTATTATCCGGGATGGTATTGTAATTGTAGTCTCAATCTGGGATCTAATGCTAGTATGTTATAAATATTAGGTCCCAGTCTAAGGTTCTTGGTTTGATTAACAGATTCTTAAATGATTTTCTTTCTTAACACAATCCGTCAACTTGAGTACTTTTCGGCGCACACCTGCGTGATGTTTCATAAAATGTCACATTTCTATATTTCTTCTCCTTCTTCCATATAAACAAGCAGGGTTCCTCGGGAACTGGCTTTCACACGGCCATTTTAAAAATCGGGTTCGTAGGAGACGGGTTTTAAACTAAATAAAAACTCGTTTGTGCTATTTTGAAACAAGGCCTGAACAATTAAATGTGCTTACCTGAAAATTGGGAAAAGCGATAGACGCCGCAGCCTTTTTAAAATCTTTATTTTTAGATCCCACAGCTATATATTTATGTAATTGATAAAGTATGAATACATGCATTCCCTGGGTAGATAAAAAATATATATAGTACTAGAAAATGTGGCGGGATTTGCTTGCATTTATTATTCGTGCAGAACAGTGTAGTGTAAAGTGTTTTTTTTTTTAATGCAAAGGTTCAAAGGCGTAAACTGTAGAACCTTCAAAACTAAACATAAGTCCCAAGAAGGAACCAAACGCCTTTGACGAGGTCTATTAAGGCAAAGGTTTTTGATCAACAAGGACAAAAACTCCTTATCACCAAAATCTGAGCCTCCTGAATGACATATAGTTCTGACTATGGCAGATCTATATCCCTTTTCAGTAGACGGAGTGTAGCCTTTTTCTTCAAAAAGATGAAGGAAAAAAATCCGCTTTCTGCTGCACAGTTACTGAGAGAGGATCAATCTGTTTCGACTGACACCAAGAACAGAAAATTGACCATTTGGTGTCATAACTTGACGGCTCCTGTAGATTGCCTGCGTGACACTGCGATACGCTTGGTTACTCCTTCGGAAAAGCCTCCCTTTCTGATGGAATTCCTGACAGTAACCAAGCAATCTAAATAATATCGAAAGAAAACTAAAGATATTAAACACAAAAACATATGATTTTTAATCAGTTGATATTTAGAAATTATACGAAAGCCCTGGACTAGACAATGCTAGTAATACAATGTTAAAACTTTCCCAGAGTTACTTAACTTGTGTCTACTGAAGCTTTTTACTGCAATAAAGAGGTATATCATCAGAAATGGCGCCTACAAACATATGTAGTCCCACCATATTTGTATGTGCCTATTCCAATTCAGATGCCCGTACTTCAGTGGTTGTCGCTTGTTGCTGTTTATCATATTTGTTTTTCGTTTGTTGTTTTGTACATAAATCAGGCCATTAATTTGTTCGTCCTTTTATAGCTTGCTATGAATTATGACAAGTTATGGGTTTTATTCGTTGCTGACGGCCGTACAGTGAACTATAGTCGCTAACATCTATGTCATTTGGTTCTGGCAGATAGTTATCTCATTGGCAGTCATACCACAGCTCCATTTTTTTTAAATACAAATATTGAACTATAGTTGAACATTAATCTCTAGAACACATTTATAAAATTTTCATAATAGCTCATCTTCAATGTAATATATCCAGCATAAAGTAAGATAAACCGTATCGATCAAAGATTTCTAACGTATAGAGCTTAATATTTTTTTAACTTTATTATTATAAACAATTTTCTGTATCCCTGTAAGGAATTCCAGTCACGGCTTAAGTGAATCACAAAAGTTGTGATTGTTTTTTTGATTCCCTTCGCTTACTCATGTTGATCCGAAGAGAACAACAGAACCCACTGAAGCCCGCCTCCGGATGCGGGATTTTCTCGCTGTGTTGAAGACCCATTGGTGGACTTGGGCTGTTTTCTGCTCTTTGGTCGGGTTGTTGTCTCTTTGACATATTCCCCATTTCCATTCTCAATTTTACATAAATGTGCAAAAGTAAAAGTGAAAAAAAATAGGATTATGAAGGACGATTGAACTTTTACTGGACTTATTTGGGTAACTGATAAGATAAGAAAATACGGTAATAAACTAGAGCGACAAAGATGGCTGTGTATGCAATTTTCGCATTTTGTTTAATGACATTGGTGTACGCTGAAGACGAAAATCGAATTCAAACACTAGAACATGATGTTGACACCTTGCGTGTTATGGTACAAGAACTGACTACCGAAAATAAGTTGTACAAAACCGAAATGGAATTGATGACAGAGAAAATGAGACAGATGGAAACCAAAATCGATAGAGAACTTTCTGGACAAAAAAAAGAAGGTGAATTAAATACTATCGTGAGTTAATGAAGTTGTTTATTTATGCAACCCTTACCAAAACAAATTATAGTCGTAAAAGTTGACAACTAAATGTTGTCCACAAATTACAACAACGTCAATGATTTAATTATCCGGCCAACCGTTAAAGATAGACAATATGTGACCTGGGCAGAAATGTCCATAGCGTAAAGATCTGCATACTACCTATTTTTACTAAAACTATTGGACAAATTACTATCCTTGAATAACAATTTTTACCATTTTAGGGAATGTTGGCTATATATCATCTTGAAAACTGTATAAGGTAAAGAAAAAAGGTAAATAAAGATAGTGATCAACAGGACAAAGTCTCCAAAAAAGGTCAAGATAGACGAAATTGTCGTTAGATTCCTTATAAGAGTTAAAACTTTGAATTATAATTTTTATTTATCTTTGATATTTGTGCGGAATCAATAGCAGATATGGAGAAACTGTTAATAGCGAAGCTGACTAACTGGATAAAATCTACAAAATGGCAACATGGCCGAAATCGTCATTTGATGAAGGTAAATCCAGAAAAGCGCTTCGGACGCATGCAATTAATAACTTGTTGTTTTCATTTTGACCATTTATAGGAGTTAATTCACTTGAATGACGATTTAACCCATTTTTGTGGGGTTTTTTTTTGTTGTTGCTGTTGCAAAAACTTTAGTAGATAGGAAGATCCTTCGAATTTTAAAAAAGAATAACAGGAAAAAATCTACAAATAAGTCAAGGTGATCAAATCATTTATCGACTCCTTTATTGTGCTTGATTGACGATTTTACCCATATTTGTGTTTTTAGCAGAAACTATGATAGAAGATAAAGAGAAGTGGTGCAAGGCAAACATGCATGATCAATATCGTCAGTCGATTCCTTAAATCAATTATTGCCCACGAATGACAATGTTACCAATTTATGTGTTTTTTGCAGAAACTATAAAGTAGATAGAGTGAAACCTGTATAAACAGTAAAAATCATCAGCAGGTAAACCTAAAAAAGTTAACATGCCCAAAATCGCCAGTCGACCCCTTTTATGAGTTATTGCCCTTGAATAACAAGTTGAAAGCTTTTTTTGGCAGAAACTATAGTAGCTTGAGAGGATAAGACAACAAAAGTGTTCATATCTGATAAATTGATTCAGAAGAAAACTCAAGATAACAACCAAAACTAAGAGAATCGCATGTGTCTCCCGTTTCGCGAAAATGTCACAATCTGAGTATGACAGAATCTGTAAAATGATAGGCGACTATTCTGTTATCTAGATGTCTTAGAATGCGATGACTCTAGTGAGTTAAGACACAGTCATATCGTATCGGTCAAAAAAATTTTGAAAGTGACCTTCAAACTTATATAGGTCCTTCCTTATAACTCGAGCATACCCCTGCTAACAATGTCCTTAACGTGTGGACATGCACGATCGTAACGTATCGATTGAGGATTTGTTACTGCTAAGGAATGGAAAATTGCCAATTCGAAAGTTGAAATTATCAAGTTTGTCATAGATTCTAGTTTGATGTCGCGTCTATCTATGTCAATGTCTAGGAAAATATCAAGATATGAAGCAGATCTTTTAGTTTCGATAGTATCCATTATCTCAAGTTCACTGAGATATATGAGATGTAAGCACCCACTGAAATGTTGGTTATTGAGTAACAGGACATCATCAATAAATCTGAAAGTGAAATTGAAGAAATTTGCAAATTTTTTTTTCTGTTTGTCATATTTGTTTGTCCTTTTTGTTGTAGCAAACACCAGTCATTGTTTCACATTTTGTCATGTCGTGGTCTTTTATAGATAGTTGTCTAAAATACCACATCTCCCAATTCTTATATTTTTTTTGTGTGTTATAGAACAAAAAAATACTTTGGTTATATTTATAATCAATTATTTAATAACATGCCTGGAGTAAAAAGTTGCATAGTTTTGTACCAGACATTTAATGTTTTAATTTATAGATAAAAGACTACTGATGACAGATCAGCCACCTGTTTCCACATCCAATCATGTTGCATTTTACACCCAGTTGACAAAAACTTTACATCTAGCGACTAACCAGATGGTTGTATTTGACCACATACAACTTAATCATGGTAATTCGTATAGTTCACTTGACGGAGAATTTGTTTGTACCCTACAAGGTACCTATGCCGTGTCTTGGACAATCACCTGTTCAGACAACACAGCGATTGAGACGGAGCTCGTTGTAAATGGAAACGTGAAAGGACACATTTTCACTGATGCTGGAAACCATGCAGACTATGAAACCAATTCGGGAACGGCTGTACTAGATCTAAAGGTTGGTGATCGGGTATGGATTAGAGTTGGACATGTATACAATGGACAGATAGTTGGAAATGGACTCGGGTCTTCCACGTTCTCTGGATTTCTTGTCAACCATCAGGCTGTATGAATAAACGTTGAACTGTGAGACAATTTTTCGATCGACAATGTAATTTATGTATGATGGCAGGGATTTCGTTACCACAAATTAATTAAAACCTATACCAAATTCTTTCATAGATACAAAGAGTTTGTTAGGACGTTTGGCTGTACCTGTAGAATTCTTTTAAAGAACGGGAATTCACATCCTAATTTTCGGTGATGTTGTTTATAAAGCTCGTACATTTAGATACGATCCATGTAGACTAATTGGTCCTTTGAATAAACTTATTCTTAAAGGTTATCAATCTAACACATTGGTAAATTCTTCAAATATTGTTTTATTGGTACTAACATTGAAAAAACAATTGAAAAATTAAAACATAACTAAATATATATTGCTATATAAGTACAGTCATGCGAACTCGTTATACTACATCATGTCGATACTGTTAACTTATTTTTTGACATTGCACAAGGTCATGCGTTTTTCATACTGTTTATGACGTCTAAATCCGCTGAATGTGTACTGATTGATAGTTTAGTCTGGGAGAACATGATTTATTTATTAGTTGTGACTAGCCGTCAGTAACTGCGAGTGCTCTTTTTTCGGTGCGTTGTTCCTATTGTTTATATGTAAGTTGTTTTTGTGCCTCGTACCTATCATTTGAGGTAAGCTAATCGCAACTGATATTTACAGTTTGTTTTTATGTTCTGCTGTTACACCACTGCCCCAGATTAAGGGAAAAGGGTTGGGTGGGGGGTTGGGTGACCGCTCACAAACAAGGTTCTCGTTGGTATATGTCTGTCATATTTGTTTTTCGTTAGAAACTAGACCGTTGGTTTTCTCGTTTGGATTGGTCTTACATTTTTCATGTCGGGGCCTTTTATAGCCGACTATACGGTATAGGTTTTTTTCTCATTGTTGAAGGCGGGATAGTTGTCTAATTGACAATCATACCACATACCACATCTCCTTATTTTTTATATTATTCATCTTTACACAAGAAAAGTGACACGGACAATTTTTTCTTAAGAAAAAAAGACAGAAAAATACGAGCCGTGTAACATTATGTTAGATTTCCTGATTAGTCATCTGTTAAAAAGCTTTATGATCGCCATTATCGATTGTGACTTAATCTAAGGTACAGAAAACACGCTTCATTATCTCATCATTATGTTCCAACTGTTACAGTCAAAATTCCGTTCTACCTGCCTCGACTACATCCAGTATAACTTTTTGGTCCATTTTGGTTTTATCAGCTCTTCAAAGTTTGTATTTTATTTTGAATTGTTACATATTTTGTCCTTGAGCATCACTGATCACATATTAATTGTCGAAATGCGCATCTACTGCATTATAATTGGTTCCTTTAATGTTATAACTAATACTGGGTCGATACCTCTACCTAGTTCCCTAGGTTATCATGAGTCCAGTAGCCAGTACGTCGGTACTGGCATAAAAAAACCGGATATTGTTTTTATTTTAATGTGCTGTAATGAAATATCGACATCATTTTAAATTAAGGAATGTATCTCCCTTATAGATAGCTCATGTTATTTGTCCGGGTTTGGCTTTACTTTTGTTCCTTTCTGGTTTTAGGTTTCATCAGATTTTATTTTTGAATATTTTGGTCTTGAGCATTACTGAAGAGACATTAACTGTCGGAGAGAGGTGAAATATACCTATGGGATAACCAAACTCACAAGTCGAAAACGAACTAACAATATCATAACAAAAAAACGATAAGAAAACAACAGTATACAAAACACAACATAGAAAACTAAAAACTGAGCAACACGAATCTCACCAAAAACCGGGGCTGATCTTAATTGCTCCGAAATTGTAAGCAGATCCTGTTTTACATGTGACACCCATCGTTTTGCTCATGTAAGTACAAACCCGATGCTAAGTCTACTTCGATATGTCTCTTTCTAGGAAAGCAGGATGGGATTGTGGTTACAACAATTGCAACATATCCGTTGTCATCTATGAAACAGAAATTCCATAACGGTCAACCAACTCGTTATGACGAGCGTAAAAATTTCGGAGGGATGATTTCAACTTCACCACTTGAAACTCTTGGTTTAAAAGCTTCCCTGTGAGCAGCAACCATTTATCAAGGTAATCATGGTAGGAAATGCAAGCTCTTGTGTAGCGTATCAACCGGGAAATATATACTCCATATGTAGGCTCTGCTGAAATAATTGCAACATAGAAATGGAAAGTTCACTATTAAGAAGCTGAAATCCTCTCTTTTGTCGTAAAGTTGTGTTCTCAACCGACCCTCATTGCCGATTTTTAGATGTAAGTCAAGATATGAGAGACAGATTTAACTGTTTCTGATATATACTTTATCTCAAGTTCGGTGGAATAATTGCGTTCAACATAGTCATCACACTTTGAATTATTCAGTGAGAGGACATCATTTATATAGCGGAAAGTGAAGTTGAAGGATAATGATAGCGTCTTGCCTTTTTTTGCGAAAAAGCTCCTGTCTGCCTTATATGAATAAACGAACAAGTCGGCACGAAGAGGAGCAACGTTGGTTTCTATGGGAATTCTGAATGTTTGTTGAAAAAACACATCCTCCAAACGTAACAAATGTGTTGTAAATTAAAGTACGATTTATCTCTCCCTAAGACAAGATACTGTATCTACGTTGGCTAATCATTTTTATGAAACAATATATATTAATCTGATTTCAAGCCTCCATGTTAGTTGAGTTTGATTTTTCTTTCTAGTGTTCTATATAAAGGTTTTCGTCTTTTTTTCTCCTTATAGTGTTAATTTTTATTGTTTTAAAATGTCCTAACTTCGTCTACATGTGTCTGGCAGCGTTGTGTTCTATTTTTGTTTCAAGACTTTGTTTGAATACTGGCCTAACGGAAATTATTTCAAAAGTAATGTCTGGAATACATCTTCATCATCTTACATTTCCATGGACATTTTCAGTCAAATATACATACTTGGTACTTTTTATTGACGAAACTATTTAGAAATGTGATCCTTTTTAAATATTAGTGCAATTTATCAAATCATATGATCTTAAAATACTTGTTACTATTATGAAATTACATAACAGTTTGATTGATTACAGTGTAACATCCGTTGACCATTCATGGCTCTTTCTTCAATTTCAATATTCCTTTAAAATTCTGAACTTTACACTGCAACCTGATATAAAGGTATTAAGTTTTCTATGTTGTGTTTTGTATAATGGGGTTTGTCTATTTCTCGTATTTTATTTTTGCCATGGCATTGTTAGTTCTTTTTCGACTTTTGAGTTTGAATCTCATTTGGTGTCTTTCGCCACTCTTTCAAATTGGAAGGATATGACTACAATCATTCAAAACTGGCTGCATACGTATATTGAATAATCCAACTTTTATTTTCATTTATGTTCAAACTTATGTTTTACTCAATACTAAAAAAAAGGGTGTAAATAGATATAAGAAGATGTGGTATGAGTGCCAATGACACAACTCTCCATACAAGTCACAATTTGTAAAAGTAAACCATTATAGGTCTTCAGCCTCGGCTTACCCGCTGCATTTGTTTGCACCTGTCTAGCTAAATCTGATGTTCAGTGGTTGTCGTTTGTTGATGTGGTTCACAAGTGTTTCTCGTTTCTCGTTTTTTATATAGATTAGACCGTTGGTTTTCCTGTTTGAATGGTTTTACACTAGTCATTTTTTGGGGCCCTTTATAGCTTGCTGTTCGGTGTGATCCAAGGCTCCGTGTTGCCATTAAATGGTATGTCGTCTTTGGACACACATAAATAGCTCGAACAGATATAAACAGATACGGACCTAAAACTGTGAATCGAATACTATGTTGAACGGATACATGTACTCAACTCAAGGTACAAAGGTAGATAAACGGAAAGATATCTTGTCCTTCCGATCAGCATAATCAATGAGACGAGCACTAACCAAGTTGAGGGAATTATGTATTCTCCAAATGATTGTTATAAAAACCCAAATACAAACTGTTGTATCGGATTTATTTTAAATTCGCCATCTGAAGATGACCGCGAATTGTTAAATTAAGTTTTTAGTGTTAAACTGGATAATTGAACTCGTTTGAAAAAGTTTTAACGACAAAAGAAACTTGACAACAATACTGCAAACAAAGTTTAGCTTATGGAAACATGCATACATGTACAATGTATGTGCATGTCTTAAGTCTGGAGCATGCAATTCAGTGATTGCCGTTTGTTGCTGTACGGTGACCAATACTTGTTAACTTCCATGTCATTTGGTCTCTGGTGGAGAGTTGTCTCATTGACAATTTTACCACATCTTCTTATTCTTATATATAAACACACTGAAATGTCTCGTTTCCTTTGATTGAAGGTTTACTACAGACATCCCATGAATATATCATTATCAATGAACTATGACAATGAGAAAATTATCAGATACACCGAAAGTATTTTGACAAAAAACCAACAGAATCTGAAAAAAACAGACATTACAAGAGAGAATGAAATAAATGTGGACAAATAAACCTTGAAAACTATGAAGCCAGTTTCAAATTAACCCTGTAATACGGACACACACACACACCCACACACACACATATATATATATATATATATATATATATATCTCACAATGATTCTATACACAGCACATAGTTAACTTATTACTTATATAATTAAAAAAAAAACGGACCTAATCAAGCATACTTTTAACGTTCGTCATTGATTTAAGTGATGAAGCCATAAACAGCGAAAATTTGCCAGACCGAAAGTGCAGCGGAACGTCTTTATGCGGTAGATTTAAACTATCAACTATTCTACCTTTAAAACTATGATGTTTTTATACAAAAAAATTAACCTCAACTGCCGGATAAGCATTGCTATGGAACGCATTCTGTGACATTCGCAAAAAAATATTTGCATAAAAGAAGTTATCATTACGTGAAAGCACTGGGATACTACGAACGGGAATACTGTCAATAGAACTATGAGCCTGATGTTATGACTGTCGAAACCCTACCTATCTCGTGGCTGAGAAGTGCTACAATGTTATACTGAGCACGTAAAAAACAAGCTACAATAATAGCTGTTCACCAGAAACTTAGAGATAGCAATAATTCCAGAAAATTTAATGTTAACAGATAACTGTAGTAAATAGAAATTGCATAATGTAAAACAATAGAACACTATACTTCCTTCAGATCAATAAACACATTCCAATTGAAATCCCCTCACTCTTAATGAACAACTATTCCCAAAATTCCTTCCTTCCAA